GTCAAGTACGGACGGCAGCATGCACTTTGTTTTTGCTTACCCAAATGCCAACCCAGATTCCATAACCAATGTACGAACTCCAGTGATTCACGGCAAAAATGCTTGCCACTCCAAAGACGATCATTAAAGCACCAAATACCATCTGCGCGACGGCTAAACCTCGGAGAGCGGACGCTCGATACGCCATGATTACAAACAAAATGGAGGACAAGGAAGAAGTTTGAGAATAAATATGACGTCATTGAAATTTAGAGGCGTGGTAAGGTAGGGAGAAGGAGAATGGGAGGAGAGGGAGAGGAAGCCTTGCATGGAGGCGTACATACATGTACATACATGTACGTACATGCGTGTTTTCGCCCCCCAAAACGTAAGCTCGTTTGAAAGTATTTGTACTCAGTGTGAGAATGTATGGATAGCGAAAACAATAATAGACAATATTATAATAATAATAGACTGATATCCATAAAATTCGCTCGATATTATGACAAATATTTTTACAAGGCTAAAAGTGTTTTTAAAAATGGCTGAAAAGTAAATCAAAGGCCCTAAGCCTGGGCTGCCTCGTGTCACTTGTTTAGTGCGAAGAAATCCACTCTCAAACCAAACGAGTGTAATGCAAACGTAACGCCAGCCAGATCAACTAGACAGTATACATTTTGACTTCCGTTAATTTTACGAATAAAATTCGATCTGCCTCGATCAGGCCCGATTCGACTCCTATTGACAATTGTTTTCTGTGATTTAGGCCTTGCTTAGTTCCTAGGCCTTCATACAAAGGAACCCCGCCTTTCACCTCGTTATTGTGACCACTTCTTTTTGTTCCGGCAATACGCCCATACATTTTACATATGAAAACTCAGCTCCGTTAATGCAGCCACCCAATACGGCCAACGACCACATTCTGAAATCCCAATCTGTATAATCCTTTATAATTGTACTCCGTTTATATGGCCACTCAAATCAGTTATTTTCATCTGTCCTTTATTAATACTGTATGTACTGACTGAAGATCGCATTCCGGATGCTTGCTACAGAACATTTGTATATCGATCCTTCAGACGTCACTCAGTTTAGACTAGTCATGAGATTTGACCCCAACCCGTTAGTACGGTCACCCCGCAAATACGGTCAAATTCTCATGACCCGTTGGTGACCGTGTTAAGGGGGTTCCACCGTATTTTGCCGCGTTCAATCGCTTCTGTTCACGTGATCCGGGTCGTTCCTTTCGGATATATCACCGAAATCAATTCAGCGTGAAGAACTGAGAGAAAGCAGTAAAGGTAGCCGAACTAGCCAAATTTATACCCGTTTGCTTAGTCTCTGATAGTTTCTAATCGGATCCTTAGATTTTTCCCATGTAAGGATTGCATTTACAGTCTTTTGGGACTTCAGTATTTACGTACGGGTGTCCTAAAACAGGCTGTCACACAATTTACAATTTAATTCCATGTAATTGTAATCCATTGGCTGGAACGTTTACGCAGCTGTACCAACAAATGGCTCTGGAATATTGATACTAAACACCTCAATGGAATGATATTTCTAAAAGCCTTTGACACCATGGACCATGCTAATCTATTAGAAAAGCTTAAACTCTATGGGGTCGATTGTTTGTCTCTTAAATGACTTCGGTCCTACTTATCTGACCGAAACACGGCAGCAAACCTGTATTGATAGAGCTCAATCTGATTTCTGTAATGTGATATGTGGTATTCCACAGGGCTCTATTTTAGGACCTCTGCTGTTTACTATTTACGTAAACGATCTTCCCTCATGTAATTTGTTTTCAAAATCCAGAATGTATGCAGATGATACGACTCTTACCTCATCTGCTGAAGACCCATATGTCCGTGAACACAAAATGAATTAAGATATGAATTTAATCCAGTCATGACTGACAGCAAACAAATTAACTTTAAATGTCAAGAAAACTAAGGACATGCTCATAGGGAGTAAATTCAGGTTATCCCAAATACATAATGATTTTACAGTTAAAATCCATAATACATCACTAGACAGAGTAACCAAACATAGGGTAATTCTAAAGGAGAGGAAACGATATGTATTATATGACACAGGTCTGCCACAAATATCTCGAGTAGGCTTAAAAAGCCTTTTGATTTAAAACGTAGAAGAGGCACAAGGTACTATTCTAACCTATTTAACCTCTTATCGCGCTGACTGTGTTAAGCACGTCACTATAATGAGTGAGATTCCTTCAATAAAGCCTTGACTAACATCACTCTTTCAACTGGTGATCCTGTGCCTGAACTCTTCCGCTAAATGTGCGTCAGCTACGATACGTGCATTAGCTCACCATTTCCAGATTACTAAATTCAACAGAGCAGTTTTGAGAAGCGATTTGCGTAATAATTTAATGAAATGTTAGGGTACAAAACTTGAAAAAAGGCTTGTCTGATAAAATGAAATAGAAAAGATGTCCTTGGATTTTAAAATTATGGGCATCAGCTCAAAAAAAAAAATGACATTTCAAATATATGCTGACATTTGAATTGTATTTACTCCTAGAGAAAAAGAAATAGACTGTTCTTAAATTTAAAACATTTTTCATTTGAGACGATAAAATTAAAAAAGATCTGTTAAATATTGTTTCCTTAAAATGTTATCAACGCGCTGATAAATAGTTAAGGTGGTTCGGGCCACTTAAAGGAATCCCCTCCTTAAGGACAATGACGATAAGATAAAAAAAAAGCCTGTACCTTTCGCAATTTGACTTGCACTTTTATTTTCAATATTCTTGTTCGGCACGTCGCTTTCATGTTTGACAAATTTCCTGTCCATTAATTTCTCAGTATTCATTTTAGGAGATAACATGTACGTGAAAATTTTAAATTTTTATGGCTATTTATAATAATAACAGTAGTGGACTATTTAACACTTAATGACTGGTCCCGAGGGGAACAGTGAATTTTGTTTCCCGAGAATCTCAGTGCATGTTTCCCGATAGCAAAACAAATGGGTCAAACCGGTGGAAAACAAATAATCACTTTATTGACAAATGACGTGCAACAGCGGTCACCATTTCACGGGTAACAGTGGACTGTTTCCCGTTTGACGTCATAGTTTTCGCAATGTTGCCCGCTCATGGCATTTGGC